AAATATGTCATAGCAATAACTTAAGCAAGTTAAACAGTGTCTGGGAACATTCACGGGGATGTAACTGGGTATACTCATAGTACTAAACCAGTTCTTAGCACACTTTTGGTCCAGCTAGCAAGCTCCTAAATCATCCTTAAGCATGGATCAGGGTTCATCCCTGCGAGCTGTTTGCATTTAGCTGCTGTACTAGGAAGGTTAAGACACGGCTGTGAGCAGAGGTACAAACCTCTCTGTGCCAGTTGGCCTCCAAGCCTGGGAATATTTCTGGGCACATTTAATTACTGCTGGCTGAAGAGGCTCAGGCCCAGCTGAGAAACTGGACTCCTTCACTCTAAACTCCATTTGTCAGCAGTGGGAGAGGGGAGCCACCACCTGAAGCTGATCCAGCCTCTCTTGATCCTGACCTGTCCAAATTGTAGACAGTTGCAAAGGCAGCTAAGCTTGCAGGGTTTAACATGCTGATAGCAGAGAAAAGGCTATATTATCCCCCAAAAGGCAATGTAGAGTACATTTCCTGTGTATTTACTAGTCACCTCCCCAGCCTCTTCAAGCTCATGAAAAAAGATTATTAAGCCATTGAAGTGCTCTTTCCTGCAACAGGGAATGTCACCCATTATTTTTATTTTTTTTTTATCTCCCTTACCATGAGGGGCTTCCTTCTTCACTAAGTTTCAGCCATAAGATGGGTGTTTTATATAATTTGCTTTCAACATTTTAGTCCTTGATAGTTAAATGTACCCCTAGGAGACAACTGTAGATTGTATATAATAAAGAAACTCATGGAAGCATACTGCATTATGTATTTCAAATGCAAGTGAATCCTTCATTTGATATAGAAAATTTTATTTTGAATTCACCTTATCAAGATATATTTACACACATATATAGATATAGGTATCTATTTTTTCTCCCTGAGTTAAAAACCTCATTGAAAAGAAATATCTCTGGCTCAGCTCCTGCAGCCACAGTGTGATGTTTCATTATCTTTTTTTTCATTGAAATCTTCTCATGAACAGGGTGATCTGATTTAATACTTGTTTAAACATATCAAACAAAACACTTTCCCTTCAAGAATACCTCAAGTGTTTGGTCACAGTGGGGATGAAATTATTGATTGTATTTGGCACATATTTGGAAACATGACCTCAATCTGCAGGTTTCAGGGGGAAAAGGTACTTTCCCCAGGTATGGCAGTAAGTCAGATAAGTAAATTATACTTTTGACATGCTAAAGATGTTCCATTTTAGACAAAGGAATTGATATCCCAGTTGTGTCACTGAAACTCAGTGTCCTGTGTTGCTTGTTAACAGCTGCACATTTGTTGTTCCAGTGTCCCAGTTTGCTCTCAAGTATAAATGAACTGCTACATACCAAATAATCAATAGCTTTGCCAGCTCTGGAAATATAATATTGCTATTAATATTGATCCACACAACAGAAATCAAGGCATCAAACTTTGCAGGCAGTTCTTGCCAGCATCCTGCATTTTACCTGCAGAGTAACTGCTTGAAAATTGCTATTCCCCAGGGAATAATGTTTTATGCTCACCCTCGTTCCCTGTGTCATAATGAGCACAAATATAAACACAAGGGAATTAAGGCACACGTGGCCAGCAGATAGGGTGCACTGTAGATTTATTTCAGCCTTCTGTGGTTTCTGGGTGCAGCAAACCAGATGCAAAGAGCACCAGTGTAAACAATCTGCATCAACCCTAGTGTCCATCTCTAAGGGCACAGCAGACAGCTTGGCTGGCTAAAATAATCAGTGTCCTGGATCTTAGAACCCTTTCTAGTGCCTAAAGGGGCTCCAGGAGAGCTGCCCAGGGACTGGGGACAAGGCCTGCAGGGCCAGCACCCAGGCAATGGCTTGCCAGTGCCAGAGGGCAGGCCCAGCTGGGATATTGGCAAGGAATTGCTGGCTGGGAGGGTGGGCAGGCCCTGGCACAGGGTGCCCAGAGCAGCAGGGGCTGCCCCTGCATCCCTCTGGAAGTGGCCAAGGCCAGGCTGGATGGGACTCTGAGCACCCTGGGATAGTGAAAGTTGTCCCTACCCATGGCAGAGGGGCTGGATTAAAGGATCTTTAAGGTCCCTTTCAACTCAAACCATTCTGTGGTGCTATGAGAAAGGTGAGATTGTTTGTAGATGGGTGGCCTGAGGCCTCTGCCAGTCCTTTCCATACACTGGGAGCACCATCAGTAGTGAAAGCTCATACAGTTTCCTTGAAGAGGTGATTTCAGATTCAAGTTCTCAGGTGGGGGAAGAAAAAAATGTCCTGCAACACTGAGTATTGCTGGCAGCATCAAGAGCATCTGTTCCTTGCTCTCCTGTCCCCTCTGAGCAGCCAGGTTGCCTTGGGAGGGAGAAAATGTAGTGCTCCCCATTCTCACATGTGTGTTCACACACACCTCTGTGAATTTGGTGGGTTTTGTCATATCTGTAATGATTTTGCAATGAAGCTGTGAATGGAAGTTTGGCAGACTGGTTTTACAATTGTCAGCCTTCCCAGAAGCAGCCCAGAATTTCATTAACTGACATATAGGCATGATTTCATATAAGCTCTGTTCAGATTTTACTAGATCCAGATAAATTAAATCAGTATTTTATCTATGTGCCACCAAAATTAGTTGTCACTGATCTCCTCATAAAGGAATACTGTAGTTCTGGTCCCTTATGTTTGAGCAGCAGCTGCACTAGATCATGCTCCCATTTTTTAATAAGTTCCTGTAGTTCAGTAAAAATGATGGGAAATAAGAAACCCGGATATGAGTAAAGCATAATCTTGGTGAGGATAAGTGGGTGAAGTAGAAAATTTGAGAGGGAATGGCCACACCATGATACTGTGTCTGGGTAAAGGTGCAGGACGTTGGTGGAAGTGTAAAAGCAGGAGCCTCAGGAAGCTGGAAGGAGTCCATGAGAAGCCCTGACAGGGTAAGGGAGGAAAAAAGAAATCTTTCCCTTCACATGACTTAGGAGTAGTGCATCAGAAGAAATTGTACCCTCTGCAATGCCTTGCTCCTCTCCTTGAGATGGTGGCCTGATCATGATTCAGTGTCACCATGACCTGCTGTGCTACCAGCTTAGTTCTCTCTCCTAGGTGACCTTTACCACATCCTCCCCTGGCTCCCAAGGAGCAAATTTATCAGCCTTATCCTTCATCAGAGAACTTCAGCTTATCTCCTGCATGAAAAGCCATTTAGCACCTGTGAGATGAAGCTCAAGACAACATCTTGAGAAGTCTATGTGAGGAATGAGATTTGTATTATCTCTTACTGGGAGCAATCAAGGTCAGGATTGAGGAGCAGTCACAGTTGCAGAGAAAATGAATGCAAGGTTCTTTATCTACTGGCAATTCCAAAGACCTGACTTCATATCAAAGATTACATTTGTGCACTCTTTCTGAGGCAAGAAACTAAAACTCAGACACTCAGTCAGGAGCAGGTATGACTTAGGGTTGCTTCTTTGGAAGAACATGGAGGTAGGGCCAAAGCTGCCATCAGCTGTAGCTGTGTAGTGTCAGCAAAGAGAGGCAGTGCCATGGTTGCAAGCTTTCAAAACATTTCTCCCCCCACCAGTATCACCTCTTCTCTATTCAGCCTCAGCAGTTTACTTCAGCTGTGACTGAAACCACAAGTTATGTCATTATATTTTTCGCTCCCATTGGATGGTGAATGTATGGCCACTTCTGCCCTTATCTCTTCTTTAAGATAAAATGCCCCAAAATGTCGTCCTTGAGGTTCAGAGGTCATTGGTGACTTTAAAATCCTCTCCAGCCGCCTTGGATCAAACCCAAATGAAATAAAAATCCATGAGAGAGTCAAAGCGTCAAGACACCAAAATAATATGTCCAAGGCAAGCAGCTTGCTGGTTTCAGAGTGTTTCAGGCAGCCATCTGCTCGTTTGAATTTGAGGATGTGATGCTTTTAGAAGTCAGAGAAAAAAACACACACTCAGACCCACAGTCTTCAGATATTTCACTTGATAACAGGATTCTCTTTTTTGTGCCTGTTTTCTTGCAGCCTCAAGAATGTCCTGTTTTGCAATCATACTGTCAGCAGGTGTCTGTAGTGCTGAAATACCAGGATGTGTAATTCTCCAACTAAAAAAAAGTAAAAATATTTCTGAAGCCTTGAAACATTTTCTATTCACTCCTCTTCATGAATGAGCAACAGAAAGGACTGTGTTACTAAAATGTGATAGTGGCTCATTTATTTACATGGTTAATGATTGTCCCTTTTTAGCTAAAAAGATACAGTTTTTATCATTCTACTCCTGTTTCAAGTCTGTGGTCTCAGCCTTGTCCTGTGTAACAAAGAAAATGATCCTTTTATGGATGGTGTTAACTGAGACACCAGTGACAAAACCACATTTAAGAGCTAAATTCCCCTTTTATTCTCAAAGGTGATCAGGATCAAAGCACCAGGAGTCCAAAGCTGAAGAGAGAAACTTGAACTCATGGTGTATCCTTCCTGTGAACAAATAAAGACATTATAGATTCCCTTGTGCCAGGGTGACCCTTTTAATCAGCAGTATGGCCACAGTTATGAAGATGATATTGTGGCAGTCCATAAAATCCCTGTCATGACGAGAGCATCATAAAGCAAATATATTATTGTTCTTGGCCCAAAGTGTGTGTGACAATAAAAGGTGAAGACAGGAGTTGAAAAACCCCACAGAGTCAGGCAGGAGTGGGAACTGGCTCTGCAGAGCCCATTGGTACAGCCAGCTGTGGCCAGCTGTTGCTGGGGCTGGGTGCATCTCACTGGGAGAGGTTTGCAACAGCACTGTGGGCAAGGCTGGTGTAATAAGAGCTTTTTCTTTGCAAGAGTGACAGGTTTGGGGAGGAGATGAAGGTGTAAGAGCAGAAGATGTTTACTCTCTTACTTGGCACTTGCTTAGGGGAAACATTCTTTCTCAATTTAAAAAAAAAAACAACCAAAAAAAACCCCAACAACCCAAAACTAAAATGACTGAGGTATTCATAAACTAATGAAAGCTTCATTTTCATCTGTTATAATGGACTTCATTAAATTCTGGACATTCACCACATCACAATGTTTATCTGCAAAAGCAGTATTTCCCCATGCCTGATGAAAAGGAACAGCAGGAGTACCTCAGCAAATTCAAGCTACTTCTGGCATCTGGTGTCAGGATTTTAATGGCACACACATTACCTTGTTTCTGTTTTGTGCACCTTCATTTTGGTTTAGGTGGCAATACTTAGTTTTGATGCCATTCTTTTCACACATAAATTTCAGTGTCTCGGTGAGCAGATCATAATGTTACTCCTATTTCAGAAAAAATGAAAAAAAAAAAACCAAAATTGAGTTATTCAGTTGTGGCCACAGAACAGAATAGACCTTTATTTTCTAAATCCCAGGAGTACATTGCATCTCCCACAGGAAGACTTACCCATGAGTAGAGTATGTCATGTGGGATGCAAACCAAAGGCTTGCACCAAACTTTGATGAAGAGAATGGACATGTCTCCTTTGGCTTCTTGTGGTGCTGGATTGCTCATCTCCAGACTCTTTTTCAGAGTCAAGGATTCTGAAGCAGTAACCAGAAGGGAAAATATTCAGCTTGGTAGATAAAGAAAATAACATGAGGCTGCCTGCGTTTTCCCTCCATTTTTGTCACTGGACATTGTCAGTCAGCCCTTTCTAGTGGGATTTTCTGTAAGTCCTGTTTGTCATACAGGAGCAGAGAGCTGAACTTCTCATGTTTCATGTTTGCTTCCTTCTGGTCTCAAATTTGCTTTGAAGGCAGCTTGGGTTCAGTCTTCTTCTGAGGCTCTGTAGCACTCACCAGGTCCTGTGCTGGACCTGCAACAGCAAGAGCAGCAGAGTCATGAGGACAGAACTGGAAGTCCCTGCAAAATCTAACTGTGACTCTAGGTCACACATAATTAGCCATTTTTTGCAGGGGGGAAAAGCATTTGCTTTTTTAAAATGGTCCAGTTTTTCAACTCTGTGCTTCTGGGGAGCTCCTGAAAGTCCTGGGCACAGATTTAATCCTGAAGCCATCCCTCTGGGTTCTGAGTTGGGAACCCATGGCACTTTCAAGTTGTTTTGCTCTATTACAGGTGGCCTTACTGAAGGTTTTGAGGAGCCACACTTTGTTGCCAAAGGGCCACTGTGCCCCTTCAAACACTCTGGCTTGTTCTTTGCTATCACATGCTATGTCCTTTTGATGCAAAAGTTCTTTTCTTTTCAAGAAAAATGGGAAGATTGATGTGAAGCAGCTCCAAAAATCTCTGGGAGCCGTGCTGCCAAATGTCCTCTCCCTTTGGCACTGGGAGTCCCCCAGCATGGCGCTGTTTTTGATTTATAATGAGAGGAGATGTGACAAATGAACTTCTCTGGCCCCCTTCCTCCTTGGGAAAGAGCTGTGAACTTAAATAGGTTATATCCTAGTGAAATCAGCTGGTGAACGAATCAGTCAAGTGAGTTCAGAAATATTCCCTTTGCTTCCAGGGAGAGCTCAGAAATGACTCCCTGGTAGCTGAGGAGCCATCCCTCCACACGGCTGCAGAGCCACTGCCATCATGGCATTTCCCACAAAGGCAGCCTGGACTCAACACACTCAGAGATAAAAGGAGGGAAGTGGACAATGACATCCTCCCTCCACAGCCTTGTCCACCCTACAGACACATTTTCTAGCCAAGAAAAGGGCCTGTTATTCCTAGACTTGGTTGTCCACTAAAGGGCAGATCAATCTAGGCCACGGTTAGGCCTTGGGAGTGGAGGAATCTGTGACTCAGCACCAGGCCAAGCTGATTCTTCCTCATGAAAGTTTAAAAAAGCACCATTCCCCAGTTTCACATACTTTGAGATCCTGGCTGCTGCCTACAGGTTAATGATTTTGTGAGGCTTCTGTAAAACACTGGGAAAAATTAGGATGCCTCTAGCTGAAATTTCCCTGTCCATGCAGGCCTGAGCTGCAGGGAAGAGTTGGTTTGCTTGACAGTGGTTCATAGGATGAGGACAGCTTGGCAAGAGATCTAGCAGGTTGAGGGAGAAGAGCTTTCTGAGCACAGACACTCAGCCATTATTAACATTTTACTGCCATCCCTGGCACTGTTCAAGGCCAGGGTGGGTGGTGCTCTGACCAGCCTGATCCAGTGGAAGGTGCCCCTGCCCATGACAGAAGGGTAGAAATGAGATGGTCTTGAAGGTCCCTTCCAACCAAAACCATGCTGTGATTCCATGAAATGGTGTGATCAGTAGGCCAGAGGGAGCTCACAGGAGCATTTCTATGTGGCAGAGAAAGCAAGTTCACCTATTTTATCACTAAAGCACCAAACCCACCCTTTGCTGGCATCAACTCATGCAGCCTTTACCCCTGCATTTAACTCACAGTATCTTAGGTGCTACAGAGCACCTAAGACTATTTGGCAGAGCCAGAGCTAAACTTGAAAAGAACTGGGGTAACAGAGAGATTGAAATTATTTAGGTGAAACACATTCTTTTCCATGCTTCCCTTACCTTGCTTGGTTTGTGCAAAACTTAATTCCCTGTCTCACAGCTGACAGACAGAGCTAGAGAGGCACATACAAAAGTTTCTGTCTGCAGATACAGGCCTGATACACTCCAGAAGGACAAAAAGAGCAATCATCTAGATGTGAACTGAGCCAATTAAATGTCTGAGCAGTGTTTCGAAAGTGAACATGGGCAGCATCAGAAATTTTCCATCAGCTGTAATAATGCCAATTACTTTGCCAGTTGCTGATTCCACTGTGATTTGTTTAGTGCAGTCATGCTTTATCTTCTTGCCTGGGCTGATACACTTTGTTTATGCTGACTGTTCATTTGCAGAGTTTTTCTCTCTTTTTTTCCCCTGGTGTTTTCACTTTTCCTTGGGCCCATCTCACAGAACAGAATAATCCTCTTCCCTCTGCCCCTGCATGGCACAGAGTATCCTAAAATGATGACAAGTTTCTCAGGAGCAAGAGATGCTGCTGTTGTTCCCAACAATTTTGTAGATGCACAGATCATCCTCTTCTTCTCCTTCTGGCAATGAGTTTGGAAAGCAAAACACCCTCCAGAGAAGCCAAGGAGCTTCTCAAGGAGTGAGCTGTTGGGATAGGATGGTGATGGTGGTGATGATACCCTCAGGGGTAGAAAGAGGGACCTTGTGCCTCTCCTTGTGACAAAGACACAGAGTGACATGTGCACACTCACAGTGAGTCTCCCTGGAAAGTCAGGTGGAGTTTTTTGTCAGTGTTCACTTTCAAGTCCATGGAAATTACTGGGTGTCCCCAGAGGACTTTGCACAAGAGCTGTGATTCTTGCTAATTGGAGAAGAGAGTTAATCATGGGCATTACAGGAATGCATCTGCCTGACTGGCAACTGAAAATAAAGTGCTTCAATATCTTCCAGGGATTTTAAAAGCTGTTTTAATTCCCTTTTCAGTCAGGTCCAGTCTGGGGAGGGTGGGATGATATTTCCTCTTTTCTCCTTCAAGAAATTCCAGGAGGTGGCTTGACCTCCAAGGTGAGTAATGTCTTTACCTCCTTTTCACCTTCCCACAGCAGCTATTGCCATCTCCAGAGCCCTACTGGTGGTGCATTTTGCACATACCAGCCTTGCAGCCATCTTTCCTGAACCTGCCCTGAGCACCATGAGCACATTTTCACAAGGATCCAGCAGGACTTTTTTCTATCCATCCCTGGGGCAAGCCAAGGAGTCCCTAGAAATATGATCTGCCAAATGAAGTATCAGCTAGAGATGCAGCTATCAGCTCTATTCATACCCTGCTATCAGTTTCAGCTTTGCAGCTGACTAATATATGTGACACACTTTGCTGCTCACAGCCCTCCTTGTCACCAGGAATTGTAAAAGATCCCCTGGACGTGTCACAGTTCATATCATCCACAAAGAGACACAAAACAGACAAGCTGCTGGCTCGTGTCAGAGAAATGTGGCAAAGGGAGTTTGCAGGGGAAATGTTTAGTAACCCTAAACTGAGAAAATTAAGGTAGACTTTGGCTCTAGGGGACAAACACACTAGGATGTGGTTCCTTTTTCCAGCAGTGTCACTGTGATGGACCTCATGACCAGTTGTCTGGCCATTTACAAAAACTGCAGTCAACAAAAACAGCAAAATGTGAGTGAGGCCGAAGTCTCCCCTTACACAGTCCAGAATTAAAATTTCTTGTGCACTCTGCATTCGCAGCAGCACGGCTGCCATGGACTCCAGCTGCAAGGCTTGCTTTCTTTGTGGGAAACTGAGACACAATGAAAAATAACTTTTCCAAATCACAAACCTAGTTTAAGAAAGAGTTTAAAATACATGACAGCACCTCCTACCTCCTCTCTCACCTGCAGGACAGTCTTGCATTCAAAGATAGTTTCTGTGTGAATGTTTGTGGAGCAGCACATGACACAATAGTCACCAAGTCCTTACCATGTCCAGTTCAACAATCATACAAGAGAATGATGGTTGGAAAAAACCTTCAAGCTCATCAAGTCCAGCCTTTGATTGAATACCACCATGTCAGCTAAACCATGGTCCCACTGCCAGTCATTTCTTGACCTCCAGGGATGGTGACTCCATCACCTCCCTGGGTAGCCCCTTCCAAAGTTTAGCAACACTTTCTGTTGAGAAATTTTTCCTGATATCCAGCCTGGACCTCCCCTGGTGCAGTTTGAGGCCATTTCCTCTTGTCCTACAGCTGCCTGAGACAAGAAACCAGCCTCCACCTGGCTACAACCTCCTTCCAGGTAATTTTTAGATCTCAAGAAGATCTAAAAAAATCAGATAATCTTTCATATTTTGAAAGTACCCAAATATTTTCTTCTTCAGAATATAGACAAATCAAGTTCACTTAAGACTGAAAAGCCACTAACCTTTCTCTTTATTTTTCCCAGTCCTCTGTATTCTTACAGAATACTGTTGTAGGGTCATGACATACTTATTGTGTATGTGTTGCAATATAATAACTCAGTGAAGGGATTATAAAACTAGAGGCTGCTCTGTTGGTATGGCTGGTTGGTGTTTATTTTAGGGAAGGATCTATTATCTCACTGTGTTGGAGAGCTGCCCTCAGACCACCAACAATTCCTACCCTTCATTTGAGGTCAAAGGCAGGGCTCTCTCCTGGTGTTTAATCTGACTTTTTTATGGGATCATCTCCTGGGTTTTAGCAATATTTAGTGAAAGAAATAAAGCCAAATTTGTCATCAGCCTCATTAGGGAAACTTCACTGTTGAGTTATTAAATAAAATCCGGTGGGGTCCCACTGGATATGTTTTCTATCACAGTACAGGGTATTTAATGCCACCCTTATGGCGAGTACATCAGATTTTGGTTATGTTAAGCCCTTGGAGACTTTGGAGTGATTTCTTCTTAGGCCCAAACCAGCAGAATATAATTTTGCTCAAAAAGAAAGGGAGAATAACAGCTGATATGACAGGAGAGAGCACAAGGTAGAGAACAGGTTGCAAGAAGATGTGCTGTCTAAATCCAGCTAAAGTCTCATTGACACGTCTGCATGTGTATATCCCTGTCCATAAAATGGGAAGATTAGTAATTCTCTATCTTGCAGAGAGCTAAGAAGCTAAATTAATTACTGTTTGTGGAGCTAATTGAGATTCCCATATGAGTACTGTTTGGAACATTTTAATTCTTATTATTATTATTTCCATTGAGGTTTGCCTCCATGTAATTAGTTTGCTGTATCTGCAAACAGGTATGTTCTCTCGAGCTCTTTGGGGGCATTCCTCATGGGCCTGGCCCAAGCTGTGTGGCATGAGGAAGCACTGGCAATCAAGGCTGAGCTGTCTTCAAGCTCTTCTACCTCACCCCAAACCTGTGGCTTCCTCCTTGTATGGCTGTGCTCTTTAGAAAGTCACAGTTCCTCAAGAAACAGCTTAAGGAGACTAGCCTGACTACAAATTTATGCACCATTATAAATTACTATGGTAAATTATACTTGTGTGTGTGTGTGCAGTGGAATCAAGCCTGGAAGTGGTTTATGTCCATTCCAGGGAGGAAAAACACTTTCCAACAGCATTAAATCACGTCTAGGTTTGGCCATCAGTTTCTTTCAGGATGAAAAATAAATAAATTCTCACACAATGTGTACCAGTCACCTATTGTTTTAGTTTACATTCACAAGTGCTGTTCACTTCAGTAATTCTGGGTTAGCTCAATATTTTCAGAAAAGTCAATAAAAGCTGCAGTTGCCATCACTGAGGATTCACTTGTCAAACACCTCTGCTACTTAAAAGTAGCACAAGAATAGTAGAAGAAAAAGACATACTAAAATGGTGCCAGATTTAAAACACAACAACCCCTTAAGATTATGTAAGAGCTATAGGAAGTATGTTGTTTTATTTATGAATGTGGAACTTTGTCTATTCATTATTTCGTGTGTCTGGGCCGGTGTGTTTTCCTTTTCCTTTCCTTTCATAAATAAGCAATAATTGACATTGAGACACACAAAGGAGTGAGTTTTAAGGATCTTGAAACACAAGGAGCAGTTTTACCAGAGGTTTCATCTGAGAGAAGCTAAGTCAGTATGAGCTGGAAAGCTTGGGGATGTAGACAAAAATAATCAAGTCAACATGTCAAAAAAGGCTGTTCAACTTAGACTGGAGCTGTGCTTGTTTACCTTTCTTGTGCATAAAGCTTAGAGGAGACAGTCTCCGTGCTGGGAAAATGGTTTTAAGCCAGCTGAAGTACTTTGTGGTGTTCACATCTCTTTTACAATGGGAACATAGAGGCACAGGCATTTCTATTTACTTACCAAGTCAGTGAAACCCTCAGTCTGATACTCTGTCCAATATAATCAATTTTAGTGTTGTGATTTTTGTGTTCCTGTAATCCTGGGGCAGTCCTTCAAAATCCGTATTTGCCAAGGCAAATATATTTGGCCTAAAGGGAACTGGGAGATTCCTTTATTTTTAAATCCCTGAATGAATAACAGGCTATGCTCCATTTTTAAGGATGTGTTCATGGACTCTGAGACACCTGAATGTTTTCAGAGATCTTCCACTACCTCTGAAAAACCGAAATAATCATTGCCATTGGTGTCTCCTTTGGCAGGAAACCTGTGGTTAGAGGGAGAGAGTTTATATAATAATTAGTTGTTTAATCTTCTCTGTGTCCA